GCAAGGACGCTACTAGGGGCTCCTGGCCTTGCTACTAGGAACAAGGACGCTACTAGGAGCAAAGGGCATCGCTACTAGGAGCAAGGACGCTACTGGGGGCTCCTAGCCTTGCTACTAGAAACAAGGACGCTACTAGGAGCAAAGGGCATCGCTACTAGGAGCAAGGACGCTACTAGGGGCTCCTGGCCTTGCTACTAGAAACAAGGAATCATGGACCTCAAAGGTGAAGGTTTTTGAGTAATCCAAACCCCTGCTATGCAAATGTTCTTGCTAAGCACGAAGTGGTCCAAACATTCAAAATTTCAGGACCTGATCCTCTTGTTCACAATGGACGTGAGGTACACCAAAGGAGCCGCAGGATCCACATCCGCCATGACTTCCACCTTCGTTTGCGCATCGCCACCGGTGAGCCGGACGCCCATGACCTGGGGAGGGGCATCGAAACGCAGCTCCGTCGACTCCGTCGAGCTGCGTCCGTCGACTCGGGCGACCGGAATCGGCACCTCGATGACCGCGCCGACCTCTCCTGGCGTGAGGGAGCACATGCTAAGCTTACGTCGGGGGGCACCTAAGCACATGTGATGAGGGGGACACCTTCGCACGCTCCTTCCAGACTGGGCGACTGAGTGACTGAGTGACAGCAAACTGGCCAAAGGGCACCGGTGGGTTTGGGCATCCCTTCGAGCTCTAGCAGTTGCTGACCTCGGTCAGGTTGCTGGAAGAACAAGCGCTTCGACCACATGCGCCGAAGTCCGATCTGACCTCAGTGCACACCTCAGTTCTCTCGTTGAGCCATGGACTCATAGATCTGGTTGCCAGAGTATAGCCTCAAATCCCGAAATATGAATGGCTGCCAAAATGTCTGTGAGTGTATCATCTGTCGCATCTGTGTATCATGTGTGGCTAGGCAAAACCTGATTTTTAGTCTGTGAGAGAGAGAGAGAGAGAAGTGCGAGACCAAATGCGGTTTGAGCCTTTTGAGCCTTTTCAGGGTAGGGTGTAGAATCGCAGAAGTGTCTTGGTGTTTAGGAAGGTGTAGTGTCTAGTAGGGCTTTCGAAGTGTGCGACGTGCGAACTAGTGTGCTTTCCAAGCAGCATTCTTCTTGGGTTTGGCTGGCCACCGGCCCACAGTGACAGGCCGTGCAAAAATCATCTGCAGCTCGGCGTCCATGCTGAAAAGCAGCTCAGTCAACTTGTGGTCAACAAGTGTGGCAGCTTAGCCACGGACGGCTAAAGAACCATTCTGCGAAGGCGAGGTATCCTCATCATTGAAACGGTATCAAAGAAACTTAAGCGGCTGACGCGGACCTCTGACAGTTTTCTATCCTTTCCTTATTCTAGCTACCCTTTCATCTCTTTCCTAAGCAGCTTTTGACTAAGAGGCGTATGTAGTGGGTGTTGTGTCTGGACGTCGTGTCCACAGGTCGTGACCACATCACCTTCCAACACAGTCGTGCGCAAGAAAGCACGACAGTGCAACGATCTGCATCATCCATTGATCCACTCAAAGGGCCTTGCATCCAGGATCTAGAGATCCAGTCAGCATCATCCGTTGAATCACTCTGAAAGCACGGCTTGCAGCGAGATCCACCTGAAACACATCCGGCTCTTCTGCCCGAAAACCGTCCGCCCTTCTCGTCTTCTTTAAGCAGAACGTCGTAAACTGGTGTCGGTGGTCTGAGCCCTGCGCAGTGAAGGTGACCAAATATGCATGGCCTCCTTTTCGCGCCTGCGAAGGGCTCCATCTCACTTCAAGCCCCTGACCGACCTGGGCGGACTGAGCTCCGAGGGGCCGGCCCTCTTCACCGGTCCGAGACAAAGCCGGGCCTCGCCTCCCTGGCCGGAGCTTGGAAATCCTCAGGTGGACAGGGCCATGTCTACAAAATACCAGCAATTGATTCTTTTGATGTCTCTTGTACCTACTTCCCCTTTCAAGGGTCTCCAGAACTGGTTGAAATCTCTGGAATCACTGCTCCAAGTCGCAAAGTTCTTCACTTTGGAAAAAAGAGACTCCTGGAACCGAACATGAACGTGCGACCCGCAACGGTTCGGGTCGCGCGATGCACGGGGTTTTCACCGCGTTTTGTCCTCCTTCCAAGCACCATCATTCAACCTGCTCTGCAGCCTCGATCGAAGAGAAGTATAGATCGAAGAAATCTCCAATTGAAGCTCGGGACAACTGAAGGAACAACTGCTGAAGGGACCTGTCATTGGCATCTTCACAGGCTACCCGGATCATGCTGGCCTGATGTTGCAGCTATGCTGTGCCAGCACCAGCTCTACAAACGACAAAAACCGTATACCATATACGTTGCTTTTCCATCTTTACCTGGTCCGCCGGAAGCTTTTGGAAGACGCGAGGTAGTTGCTCCTGCCGGTGACATGCAATGCGTGTGTCGCACACGCACACTCACACACAAACGTGAAGTCACGGCTGCTGAAAATGCAGATTTGAGATTGTGCCTCAGCCGTTTAGTTCTTAGAACAATCCTGAATCTGAGTGATGATCTGCTTCTGAAACTTGCTCAAAGTTCTCATTGAACCAACCGTGGCTCCCACCACCAAGGCACCTGAAGGTCCATGAAACTGGGCAAAAGTGCGATTGGCAAACAGTTATAGAAACATGAATTCATGTCAACTCAGACAGCAGAATCTCCTCCAATCGCAAGCTTGGACTTTGCTACCTCTACCTCAGACCTATTGTAAATGCCAGCCTCGTCCAGCAGCACAAAGCAATGCTGGTGCTGCACCAGGGCAAGTACAGAAGACCAAGCCACCCAGCATCACCAAGCCGGCTGAAGGCCATAGCAGCATCCGCCTACGCTGCATAGCACTGAAAACCGTTCCACCATCTTCCACCGATCAGCTTTGGTTGCTACGATGCTCGACAAAAAGGCTCTCCGGCTACATTCCTTCATGTTATGTTTTGATCAGCTAGCTCATGACCAAGCCCCGCAGTCGGATTCGGCGCATCAAACACGCGGCGCTGCTGCCGCGACCCGTGGGAAGCGCCCGTGAAACAGTCTCGCCAGGCGCCTCGCCTCTCCCGGTCTTCGTCGACAGCTGTGCCCGCAAGGGTCACCACCTCAGGATGGACGGCGACGGAGAAGACGTCGTCAGCGGGCGTAGACAAAACCCAACGAGAGATCAACAGCATTCAACAGCCCTAAGGGGTCATAGGAATTCCAACACCAAGCTGCTGCTTCCTGCGTCGCGTCCCTGGCATGGGCCACCTTTTCTTCCACCAGATCCAAGGTCTCCTGCAGGCTGATGAAACAGCGACATCATACTGAGTCCTACAGTCATACACAACTCCAAAAAGTCGTAGATCGTCGCAGGTTGCGGCGAGGCGTTACCACCAGATGTCGTCGGCTGTTCCGATGTTTTTCACTCCCGACCGTCTCCTGATCCTGCTCCAGCTTCTCAGTGATGAAGTGAGTGAACTCCAGCAAATTGACTCCGGCTTGTGAAAGCTCCAGGAGGGCCATTCGATCTCGCGCTTGTTCAGCGGCATCATCCTGTATTTTGCTCTCTGAGTCACGGATCATGAATGATGTTCCAATCGTGACAACCGTCATGGACACGTGCTTATCGTGCTTTGATTCTTCTTGTCAGTTATTGTGGCCTCAACTTGGACTCCCAAACATATATAACATATACACTTCTGAAACAATCATGGAACTGGACAATGGCCCCATTGGAAGACTACGTTCCTCTACTCTGCGGGGGTTGTCCACTTCCACTGATTGTTGCAGGGAGGGTCAGTGCTTCCTTGGGTGGTCAGTGCTTCGCCACCGATCCGGTCGTTCACAAGGCCATGCTCCTACCGTCCGGTCTCCGTGAACCCGTCCTCTTCGGACCAGGAGACCAGTTGGCCAAAGCTACCCATGACAATGGTCCGATCGGATTCCACGCAGGTCAGAACGGGGTGCTGGCAAAGCTCTGAGGATAGGGAGCCCTGGGGTGGATCTGAAGCAAACGCGATCTTACAAGCCACAGAGATGTTGATTGACTTCCAACAGCTTTACCCCAAAATTGCGTGATTCTTTCATCCTAGGTTTTGCAACACATCATGTTTAGTTCAAAAAATATTGAGGCTCAAAGCCCTCCTGTGAAGGTATCACAAGAAATGTAAAATATTTAGTTATATAGTTGTTTCATGTTTGTTCATAGCAGTGCAGCCAAGAAATGCCACGAGCAACCAAAAATTATGTAGCTTGCTGACAGGTGGCTTCTGCAGAAAGAACTCGAACCTCATCCTCTGCTTTGCGAGGCTCTTTTTGCGGGTATAGAAAGCTTGCAAGGTGCTGCAAAGATTTGGAGGAGGCGTCTGTATCTTGCAGCGCCAGCGCGGCATCCCGCTGTTCCCCATGTTCAGCCTCCGTGTCAAGAGCACGACTGGAGCCCAGGGAATCAAAGGTACGCCGGAGGTGTGCAACCTGCGCAGCCAGTGGAAGTTGCACATGATCAATTGCATTATAGTGGTCCCCAAAGATCTTAAATGGGGATCTACTTTTCTATCTATTTGGGGGTCTTTGTACGTTTTGCTCCATAAGTGGAGCATATAGTGGGTGGATGGTCCTTGCTGTGCAAAAACATGGAGATCCTCCATGAAAATCGACGACAAATGAAACAAGATGCTTCGGGGGTTCTCCACAGATTCCCTCGGAAGATATACCGATACCCACCAAGCACTGTCTAGACTGGCTGCCTCTTTCCTCAGCTCACTGGCTGGCAGGGCTGCCAGGAGCCGCTCCAAATATCGAAGCTCATTTTGCATCCACGCAACATCCTCACAAAGCCATGCCAATCCATGCACAATCATGCAAGTGAAGGGATGCTGCCATCGATCCAAATCATCGAATCGAGAAGCCAGCAAGCTGACAGGGTGTTATTCGGATGAAACCTTCTCTGCGGAATTGCTCCTGTGGGGCGTATCTTTGTCCCCTTGCACGTGCATCTGCATAGTCTTGCAAGCAACATTTCAGCTGCTCAGCACGCCTCACGTGGGACGCCCCTCAGAAGAGTGGAGACCTCCCAAGTAACCACAACCCCTTGGGAAGAAGGAAAAGGAAACACATATAATGTAGACTCTTGACTAATAAACCCACCCCCGTTTGAATTGAAAATCCTCTTCAAAGGGGGGGTCATTAATCAAGTGTCTACATTATATATGTGTTTTAATTCTCGACTAACCCACGCAGGCACCGTGCCTGGGAGCTGATTCCGCTGCACTGGAAGCAATGCTGGCTTCCACTTTGGCAGCGTAGCTCATGAGCCGTTTGTTTCTGAAAACGAATGAGCTGTGTTTGCAAAAACTAGCTATGTAGTTGCGAAAAAGGAACAGCACGACAAGTTGTGAAGATTCTGTTGCATCAAACATATTTGTCAAATCTTTTTCTGCCATTGTTCTCTTCTATTGAGCCACGTGACGCTGCATTCACACATCATACCCCTTCTGCGATCATGCTGGGCTCACTTGGTCGGCTCACTGAGCTTGCAGCTAAATGGGCGGCTTTCTTCTCCTTTTGCTTGCCTGCAAGAGGCCGACATCTGGCTTTCATTAATGAAAAGTGCGATCTTGGTGTCGAATCGAGTCATCAAGTGTCCGACTAAGCAAGGAGTGATGACACAGTGCTCGATTCGACGGGCTGTTCATCACTCATTGTTCGATGTTTCTTTTTTTTCTGTTTGACCTCTGTCGCTGAAGGGGGGGTTGAAGGCTTTCGTCCACAAAAGATCCATCGATCATCGGTGCTTTTGGAGCAGGATGAGATCATCGACAACAGTATACAAAAGGGAATCGTTGTTGCTCCTAGGATCTCAGGATCTCACTGTCGATCCTGTGTCCATTCCTGAGTCTGAGCTGCAGCCTTGCTGCGTACAGTGGGCAGTGTTCCGTGCCCCATATTGCAAATGAGTGGAGATGACGTCAAGTCTCACTGTTGCTGGGTGTTTGCCATACGGTTTTTGTCCCTCAAAGCTGGTGTGGCTCGCATTTGCCGCAATGTCTGCAGCCTTCCTGATCAGACCTGATCACAGTCAGTGTCAGCATTGCGTGGGCGGTGCGCATATGATGGCCTGTTGAGTTGCCTTATGAACCGCAAGAGCATAGCACCACAAACACACTGTGCGTTGGGACCAACAATTGTGTTCACAAGGCGCGTGGTTCTCCTGTGCAGAGAAAAACGGTTCCAAACTGCTTGGGGCCTATGCTGGTTGTTTGGTGAATAAAGCTGCTGCTTCATGCAATTCAACTCTGCTACTCACTGGTAGAGGAGAGCAATGATCACGTAGCGCACCATGGATGTGCGCACCTTGATATTATGGCAGTGGGTCAATTACCAAGGATTAGGTCCAGGTTCTGACCCACAGCCAATATGTGTCTACATTACAATCGTTGTCAGGTCTGAGTTGAGCTCCCAAGTGCATCAGTTGCTGGCCTGAAAGCCTGGCCAGGCTGCTGTGCTGTACTGTGCCACGTGTGCCACTCAGTTTCACCAGTTCTTGGAAGAGAACCTTTTTGCAGAAACCCTAAACATTCCTGCACTCCCTCAAATCCCAAAGGAACTAAGTCTAAATCATGGGCTCACTGCCCAATCTATGGCCGTCAGGGCGACAAGTGATGTCGAGGTGCACTTTTTGCGCACAGGTCTCAGCAAGAGCATTAAGGATGAGGAAGTTCTGTCCACTGTACACTAAAGTCACTAAAGGTGGTGTGCACAGCACAAACGTTTTGAAACTTTTTGCGCAGCGTGGATTTGTTTGCATGCAACAACTTTAGTGCACTGCAGCAACAAACTTAGTCGTGAATGGAACCGAACATGCTTTGTGCAATCCTATGCGTACGTCATATGCAGACTAGCGATTTGCAGCAGACGTCTGCTGCGGTGCCTTTGATACACGACGTTCGAAACCACAAGGGTGAGTCTTCCGTCCATTGTGCATGGCTCTTGGCACACCTCTTGTCCTTATGAAGAATATTAGACCTCGGGAATTGGGTGCGGCCCAGCGTCCGGAGACGGTGGACAGAACGCCCATCCTTTGAGCAACAAAAACCTACAGTTCCTGTTTGGGGGGGAAAACAGTCATCACGTGCAACTACAATGGTTGTTGTTCTAAGGTTTTTTGAGAGTCTGGAGTCTGGAGGGTGTTTAAGACCAAAGACCTCAACCTGAAATTCCGTGACCCAACAAAATAACCGACAGCCGACAAACGTTCCACTCCACCAAAAGAGCGAGCGATTCCTTTTTTGCACGGCATGTTTCGCCATCGAAACGTCGAAGGTCTTGGCAGGCGCACCTTAGCACCAAACGTTTTGGTGTGTGGACCGAAAAGCTGATTGAAACACAAACGGTCGATAACCCTTCTGAATCAAGGAAACATCTGAAAACCACTGGCTTGTGTGTGTGCGGCGTTGTGCTCTGATGAAAAATGTGCTCGGCTTGAACACAAGACACAAACGATCACAAACGTCTTTTGCTACTTGGACATCAACAAAGCAATATGACCCAGGGTCGCTGCTTGTCGCCGCTTCCGCAGTGGACGTGACCTGGGACTTGGACAAAGAAAAAGGAGAAGTTAAGGTCCAAAACCCTGTCCGGTCTGAGAACGTGTTCTGACGTTTTTCAGTCTGGGAACTGAAACTGTTCGGAGTTTTTTGCAGTCTGAGAATTGCAGAACTCTCTGTGTACATCTGTGTACACATTTGGTTGAGCCACTCTTGATTGGGACTCCAGCTCCCTGCTTGATTCTTCATTTACAAATGAGTTGAACATGCATCCTGGATACATGCTCATCATAGGCTCCCATTTGAAGATCAATCTAAATCAGATCGCAAAATGACGTGGGGATATGTGTAGATCGCTAGCTCGTGAAGCAGCAAAGCAAGCTCACATCATAGCTCCTGTTTCTCTCGCATCATAGCTCCAGTCAGACGAGCCAACAAAAGGGCGCTCAACTTCCAACACATGGCCAGGCACCCCGAGCTTGCTCAAAGTGGGCAGTTTGCTTGTTACTGATTGCATTCTCCAACCACCCAGATTGCATGTGTCACCCCACGGTTTTGACAAAAGTTTAATGGTGCTCTCGTCCCTGGCACGATGGAGCCGCTGGGCGAGATTCGGCCATCCCCTCATGCGAAGTCGTTCTCCTGAAGCGCGGGGTGAGTTAAAAGCTGCATGCCTCCAGCATGCCAAAACATCCATGTTTGCGCCCGACTTACTGATGTTGTTCAGAAAGCCTTGCCACGAACACAAACATCCATTACTGCCAAACCGTCCAAACCCATCAAATCTGGTTGTCTTTATCGAGAGCTGATCAGAAACTCCCGGTGTTTACTCTGATATACCAGAACCCACATTAGTATCTGCCAAAGAGGACATGATTCAGCAAGATTATCATCGCTTTTTAGGGGGCCTATCGCTTTTGCAGGCTTTAGCAACAATGTCAACATAGCTCGGTGTATGTAAAAAACTGCGGGGATTTGGTTATCTTTTGAAGGGGGCCTATCGCTGTTGCAGGTTTTATTCAAATTCATGAAATTCACGACCGCTCTTTACTAGACTAGTCATTGCACCTTTTTGGCGGTTGCTCATGTATGAAATGCTCTCCCATCTACACATGGCCTGAAAGTACGAGAAAGGACTCCTTGCTGTCCGTGCAAAACAAAGAAGCTGCTTGCCGTTTCAAGCTCAAGTTTACATCAGCCTTAAGGCCTCTATAAAGACAGAACGGTGAGCAGCTCTGGCAGCCATCGAAATGTGGTTTGGCAGGCCAATGGATTTTTCACAAACCTATCGTTGGTTTGAATTTGGGGCACACATCTGAGAGGAATTGTTCTGCCAGGGCTACATCTGATGTATCATTCACATCTTGGGATGTTTCGGTTTCTAAGTTTGCATCAGTCCATCATCCCCATGCATTCATTCAAACCAACTGGAACTCTTCGACGACAAAACCTGAACTCAGAGCATGCTTCTCGGTTCACCCGTGGCAAACTCGTTGACCTATGTGGCAGCCCACGACATCGGAAGGGGCAGCGACATGCCCAGTCAAGTTGTGGAGAAACGGTTTTAAACACACACACACACACACTTAGAATAGAATAGAGCTCAGAGAAGCACAAGTTCAGTTGCAGGAGTGCATTACCACAATTCAGTTATGATGGCATCTGTGTATATATGTGCCAACTCTCACATGTTTGGTTGTCTTTTCCAGTGTCCTTGGCATAGTCAAGGCCAGCTTCGATCTCCTCCTTCAAAACGGGCAGAAGCGCCTTGAGGCGGCCTTGTTCCTGGGCCCAGAGGGAGCGCGCGCGTCGCGGAGAGAGAGAGAGAACGGCCGTGTGGAGTGGACTCGTCCAAGCGTCGTAGTCGTTGAGGTCGCCCAAGGGGTGGACAGTTTCAACACCCTGCTTGCCAAAAGTCACCTGGAACTCAGAACGAGTTCCGCACTCCCTATGCTTCCAGTGTGTGTGTGTGTGTGCTGTTCAAGTTCCTTCATAGACTAAAGCCTGTTGCTTTAGTAGGGCTCTCACTGGTCAAATAAACACCCGTGTGCACCTTGGAAGCAAAGTAGGGCAAGTCAGTGATCTTCGATTCCACGTAGGCGCATCTCAGACAGGCGAAACAGGGGACGTGGCTAGCGTGGTGCGCCCTTGGATCTGAAATGGCTTCTGAAACGAGTGCCCTCTCTAACCAGAACGAGGGCTTCTGAAGTATGCTTACGAGTTGGCAAAGAAATTGGGCATTGTGTAGAATAGAAATGTCGCGCAAGACAATCAAATACAAAACAACTCCAAGGCTCTCCAAATCTCTGCAAACGTGTTGCACATTGCTTGGCTTCGCCACTTCTGATGTCAATATCTGTGGAATTCTAGGGGATACAGGGTGATACACAGGAACAAACAACAGTAAAGTCCCCATGTGTTTGTCCTTTCGCTGTTGAGTGGAACCATTCGTCTGGCCGAGGGACTCGGTGACCACTTCACCATTCAGGCCGGCCAGGACAGCCTGTGGAGCCCAGTGGGTCTTTTTGGAGGACATATCAAAACTGCGTATAAAAACATACAATTTGGGTCTACACTTCGTCTTGTCAAAAGTAAAAACTGCTCTTTTCTAACCTGTTTTGTGGTGAATCTACACTTCCAGCTGCTCCTTGAAAAAATTGTTGGCGAAAACTGCTTCCCACAGCGCCTTGCCCAAGCGTGCTCCGGCATAGGCCATGGATAAGGTGGCGCTGCCCTTTCCTCAAGACTCATGTGGATGCTCACGAATGATTTTGACCACGGGTTAAAAGCAAACCCAATAAGGGCGGCTCCATTCTTGGCCGCGACAACCACCGTGCCAGCATCCTGAACCTAAAAAAACACATAGTCTCAGATCAGAACGAGTGTTGCCATTGCTGAGAGCATTCGTTGAACAAATCAGCCTTCTTGTCCAAGTCTGGGATCTTGTCCGCAGGGATAGTCATGCCCACCTGAACCAGCAAATATATATATATATATGTATGTGTGTGTATTAGATTATATTGTATAGACGTCCCCTGTGAATTACCCAGGATAGGTTGTGCTAGCCCCTCCTTGGATGTAATACGAAATCGTGATTGATAAACCTCCCCTAGTTAATCCGAGGCCACAAAGCACCCGAACATTGACAAAATTAAAAGTAGTATTGGTTGCTGATTTCTTCCCTAATTGTCTAGTTGGGTACCAGAAAAACCTCCCAAGTTAGTACCTACTACCTACTACCTACTACCTACTACCGACTAACTACTAAATACTAACTACTAAATACTAGCTACTACCGACTAACTACTAACTACTAACTACTAACTACTGACTACTACTACTACTACAACTACTACTACTACTACTACTACTACTACTACTACTACTATAACTACTACCACTAAAACTACTACTACTAGAGCTACTAACTACTAACTACTAACTGCTAACTACTACTACTACGACTACTACTACTACCACCACCACTACTACGACTACGACTACGACTACCACTACCACTACCACTGCCACTACCACTACCACTACCACCACTACGACTACCACTACCACTTCCACTTCCACTACCACTTCCACTACTACTACTCCTACTACTACTACTACTACTACTACCTACTACCTACTACCTACTACCTACTACCTACTACCTACTACCTACTACCTACTACCTAC